ACCACGCTAGGCCAGTGACGTGCATACAGACCCATAGACTTACATAGACCACACTACTACACCACACGTACAGACCCAAAGACCACACTATGCCAGTGACTTCCTTAGAAACCCATACACTTACACAGAGTCCCATAGACGATGCTATAGCAGTGCCTTACATAGAGACCCATCGACTTACATAGTACAATATTAATAAAACAGGGACTGCTCTACTTACAAACGAGTTCAGTTCCAGAGATCTGTTCATAAGTCGATTTGCTCGTAAGTCCAACTTTACTCCTGTGATTCAAAGCATGTTGTACGGCGTGTGCGCTAAACACGGGGAATTTTTTTCTTTAAGTTGTATAATCTCCTATAGATGCCACTGGTTCACAACGCTTTATAACGTCCACTTCAGTTTCGATCATAATACTGACCCTCTTCTTACTACCACCCTCAACACTTTGACCACTCTTATGCTTCTGAGACACGGTGGTTGATAATTGTTCGTGAAAAGCAGAGAGAAGTGAATGGCACAGCGACAACACAACAACAGACAATGGTGACGGCCCAGGCAGAAATGCTGGGAATGCTGGGTAATAAATGGGAATGCTGGGTAATGACACTGAACAACCACCGCACCATCTATTACGCGGAGGTTGAACTTATGAACTCTCGCTCCGAATAGGCAACTGGACGTACGGACCAGGTTTGTTCATATCTCTGGAAGTTCGTAAGTCGAATGTTCGTAAGCAGAGGAGTCCCCGTAGAGTACTGCGATAAGTTATTTGATTTGAAGCTTTCGTGACTACAGGAATCCATACTCTTTGGTAAAGTCCCGTAGGTATAAAACTAAATAAATCACGACGTTTCGGGCGCAACACAAGCGTCCATCACCAGGTGGGAAAGCCAGGAAGTCTGTGCCTACTTTCCCACCTGATGACGGACACTTGTGCTGCGGCCGAAACGTCGTGATTTATTTTATTTTATACCTACGTGCCTTTACCGAAAGAACCAAAGAGTACAAGTTATTTGTTTGTTGAGGAGAGCAACGCCAAGCCGCAGGACTCTTTGTCAGGAGCGCCCTGCATTGAGGTTTTATCTTCAAGATGTTTTCATCCAATTAATGACGAGACGTTTATACAAGTGGCAGGAACACCGGGGCACCCGGAGAAAGCCCATCGGCACGAGGGGGCAACACTTTACTCCCACACAGATGGAAACAGATGCCGTCTCCTGGCGAGCCGCAGTATGGCAACTCGATGGCCATGGGAAGGGCGTCTGAATACACGCGGTGATCCACCAAGCCTTCGCCCACTCCACACTGCTGGATTCGAGCCACGCGGAGTCACCACTGCCTGCCTGCCTGTCTGCGAGACCCACAGATCACGTGATTACGCCACTGACGTACGTACATAGAGACCCCATAGTCCACACATGCCAGTGACTTACACACAAGAGAACCACAGACTTGCATAAAGACCCATAGCCCACGTCGTTACGGCACAAAGGTTAGTAGGCAGGCTTCCTTCACCTGCACCGCCGATTATCACGGTTGGCTACGTACAGTGCAAAAGAAGTTCAATGTACAGTACATACCTATAGACCACACTATGCCGCTGATATACAGATCATTAGACCAGTGACTTAACTTAAGAGACCCATAGACTCAGATAAAGACCCACATACTTACACAGAGACCCATAGATGTACACAGAGAAATAGACTTAACAGAGACCCAAAGACTTACAGAGACCTAAACACCACGCTGCTACGCCACTAACATACATAGACCACACTATGCCAGTGACTTACATAGAGACCCATGGACGTAGAGACCCATAGGTCACGCTATTTTGGCACCGACGTACATAAAGACCAATAGAATTAAGAGACCCATACACTTAAGGGACCCATATACTAACATAGAGACCTATATACTTACACAGAGAGTCCATAGACTTACATAGAGATCCACTGACTTACATAGAGACCCATGGACCATGCCACGTCACTGCCATGAGCACATAGAGCGGTGAGTGTTGAGGCTTGGTCAGAGTGCGGGTCTCCACAGCCACTCTGCTCCACGAAGCCCGTGGGCCGACGGACAAACAACGTCGAAACGAGAAACTAAAATATTTTTACTCAAAGATCCTCGCCTGTTTCACGTCTTATTGGCCACAGTTCAGAACAGCGTAACGGTAAAACAAATGTACAGTGGACGACTTTGCCGTAATGCGTTAAAGTTGACCTCACGGTGCTCTTTGGAGGCCTCCTACGTAAACTCGTTTCTTTAGAACCCCTAATTGTGAGTCTATGTACCACACGCACGTGCGTCTTGGGTTCGCGGTGCAACGAGAGCCGCTGTGCCACGGTCTGTCTGCCAAATTTTGTTTTTTAAGACGTTTTAGTGGTCGCAGCGATTACTCAGTGTGACGCTTTAGCTCAGAGCGGCCAGAGGATGGCACCACAATGATCAATGCGGATTCCGTGATGGACTGGACAATATCAAATGTGCTTAATTACTCACGGCCTAGCAGCGCAATGCCAGTTACAACTTCAATTGAGACAACTTCAACCTTTCACGGCGACGATGACGAAGCTCGGAGAGCCAAACGGGAGTTGACAGGGAGTCACAAACACCTCCTAATGACAAGCCCCCGACGACATGCACGGTTGCCTACGTACGGCGCAAAAGAAGTCCAGCAGACAGTAACATAACGAGCTACAGACTTCCCCGATCCCACCACGGTCATTGCCAACGACTTTACGACACTCAACCACAAGTCGACACCCAAGCTCGGCCCGGAGGTTGATCGCAATCTTCAAAACCCCGCTGCTAGGCGATTATTTCTCCAGATTCCCCGAGGGCCGAAGGGAGACGAAATGTCCCCACGACGCAAACCCAAGACGTTCTGGTAAAAGGGTGAACTCACAAACCCTTCCAGTCCTCCTGCCGCCTGTGCAGCAACGGCTCGATTCGTTGAAATATTAACACCAAACCAAAATTATTATAAAATAATTACTATAAATGTAAAAATTCACGAGTTGTGGATGATGTTGATGTTGTTTCGAGCGAGCCAGTTGCAGTACGTGCACGGCAAGTCGCGTGACTTCATGCCCACGATGCACTCTGGCACTCACAGTGCGGTGTGCTTGGCACAGCAACACAGCCGCCGTTCGCCACCAGGGGCCTGTGACGTCACCACGGCACCTGTGCCAGGCTCGGTGTACTTTTGAGGCCACGTGAAGTGCCGAAGGCTCGCTGCTGGCAGGAGGTCACGGGGCAAACCCTGGGTGCCATGGGTTGACCGACTGAGATGGCTGGCAAGTGCACACCAGCTGCCCCTCCCTGCTGTGCCAACTCGCTGCTGCTTCACCGCCCGGCGCTCTGCTCGTTGTGAGCGTCGCTTCTCCGCCCCCTCCGTTGTTGCTGGAGGACGACTGCCTCCAACTTCCCAGTAGCGTCCTCCATGAGCCTCCTCCACAGAGGCTGATCTCGACACCGCTGGTACCGGTCATCGGCAAGTATCACATCACTCCACCTCTTCTCTAGCCCATGGCGTGCACGTTTATGTATGTACAGCATGTATATTGAACTTCTTTCGCACCATACGCAGCCACCCGTGCTAATCAGAGTTGCTGTCGAAAGACAAATATCTCCACCTATCCAGGCCAAACAGAAGCTGCTTGGGCATGCGGCGCTTGTTGTTGATGCATGCACCTAGCCTGGCACAAGCGCATTGGTGACGTCACCGCTACTCAGTGGCAAACAGCGATTGTTGTTGCTACCACTGCAGCTGCGGCCCCTCGTTTTAAGCGGGTGAGATTTTAATCTTTGACCCTGCGTGAAGACCCAGAAGCCCGCAGGTGGCAGTTGCGGCGACGGAGGTCAACTTTACCCGCTAACCCCCTCCGATGCGTGGATCGTCTATGGGTGCTCCAACTTCCTACCCGCATGCGATGATGTGTATGCTTGTTTACCCCAGGAAAGCTGGGTAAGTTTTCCCAAAAGTGAGTGATGTTGCTTGTGTGTGTGTGTAAACCCCCACAGAGCAGTTAGAAGGTATTTTTTTAGCATTGGGATGTTTGGCCAATATCGCTTATTTGTTTATGTTGGTCTAGCTATGGGAGGAAACCATAACCCAGAGGAAATCCGTGCAGAACAGGGGGAGAGTATACAAACTCCACACAGAAAGGTCCCCTTGTGCCAGGTATCAAACTCAGGGACTTCTTGCTGCGAGGCCGCCCACTGACCCTTTACACGACACGGGCCAGTATCTAAAAATAGGTTTCAGATTCTTTTAATAAAAAAAAAAATGTCGAAAATAATTCCACGCGAGTAACTCACTTCTTCGACGACACACATGCTGCCACGAAAATAATCCCGAGTTTGAGTCCGGGTTCCAGACAGCTCTCTGGTGTTGTGATCGAGTCTATCCAGAGCAGGGTTTGCCTGACGTGAACAAACGCTACTTGGCTACATCTCCAAATTTTATAGGTCAGATTGAAGCAGCAGCCAGGGCGATCGATGATAGAGCACTCACCGATCGCTCGCTCACCGGCGGTCAGTCCCCTCCTTGCCACTCTTCTATCGCTACTACTCACTACCACTACTCACTACCACTACGGTGAACTTCATTTACCGATTCCTCCACCACCCCATGTTGAGGACTCGGTCTACCAGACAATGTTTCGTCTCATCTCACACGGTGTTCAACCACCGCACTTGCAGGTTACAACTCGCACGCCCACTCACCCGCTCCCTCGCTTGCTCACTCCGCCACACTGCAGGTCACCACATTTCTATTTCTGCTTCTTCGCTCCCACTGCTCCACTTTGGAATTCCCCGTGATTTCTCTTTACAAGCTCAATTCAATAAACGTCTAGACTCTTATTATAATAATTGCATTGGTAATTACCAATGCAATGGTTGTTTGTTTCTGGCCACTTGATATTTTGGGCCAGTGCTGAGCAACTGCTGTGTTTAGTAAGAGTAGAGGCAGCACTGCGGACGATAGAATAAATGTCACTTTATTTTGGGTTGATAAATAACCCTGTTGGAACATCTTACGGATACATCTAGGCCAGCGTAATAAAACAACAAACCGCAACAGATGCAGAGCAATCGCATTACTGGTGAAAGCACTTCTCATTTCCTTAGTGCATGGCTTGCTTTTTAATTGTTGCCTGGAGCGTAAATTTCAACTGGCAGGAGATCCGATCCAACAAAAGAGCATCTCGCTCTCATGAAACGTTCAGCTTTTTAAAGCTTTCCTTCACAGCTGCCAGGTGTTTCAGGGGTTCATGGTGGTCATGCCAGAGACACTGAGCCAATAACATCGAGAACCTGGGCTTGAACTCAGGTTTAAGCCGCCAGGGTGGCGAGCTGATTGTCTGAGCCTGGCTACCAATAACTGCACAGAAACACCTTTGCTATCATAACTCAATTGTGCACTTTCCAGCTCCGGCAACAAAACATTTGGAGATGATTGCCAAACGACGACAATTGATTGAAGGACACAACAGAGGCAACCACCTGGGGCATGGATAATCGGCTCCTGAAGGGATTTCAGAGGTAGTTCCGTGACAAACTTGCGGGGCCATTCTCTGATAATGTTACACTGCTCGCTGCGTTTTCCTGATGGAAATTGCTTTAATTTTGACTTAAAACTTTCGTGACTGCAGGAATTCATATTCTTGGTTCTATCGGTAAAGTCACGTAAATATAAAATAAAAATATACAAATTATAAATTGAAAATAATAAAAGCAAAAAACACGTTTCGATCGCAACAAAAGCGGTCTTCATCAGGCGGAGTGAAAAGAGGGGGCAAGCCTCCAAATGTAACTGCTGAGAAGGGTTCCAAAGTGAGTGGGCGGGGGACGAGAGCTGCGCAAGCAAAACGAGCTGCGCAGGCAACACGCGATTGTTTGTCTTCCATCTACGTGACTTTACCAAAAGAACCAAGAATATGGAAATGGATTGTCTCATGATGATGCCGAGAGCCGAAACGCACGCCGACGATGAAGCCGTTCTCTTCAGTCTAATGTTGACCAACCCCACTTTCAAAAAACAAACAGAATCTCTGCTCAAATGAGAAATCGGGTGACGCTCATCTCTACTGGCAGCTCTGAGCCAATGGTTAAAATTCCACATTACTATGGCGGGAGCCTGCCTTCCCAAAGGGCAAGGCTGTTGGTCACTCTGTGACGAAAAGACCCCTCACTAAGCAGCAAACACTTGTATCGATCCCAGAGGGACGATCGGTTCCGTTTGACCTCTGACCGGGATTCAAACTCGGTCATATTCTGACAAAGAGACAGCGAGAAACTCCTCACAGAGGAGAACCGAGCACCGCTTTAGCCACACGGCCACCGCGTCTGGCGCGAGAGACGGTCACCCACGGTGAGGTTTGCCTGTCAGGCCACGTGGCCTCCTCAGATGCCCTGGTAGAGGAGGTCGTATTGCGCGATGTTCTGCGGATCGATCGGACTGCGCACCATCAGCTTGCCCCGCATGGCCCCGCGGTAAATCACCTCCACCAGGTCGATGAAGTCCTGCTTGCTCTTGAAGCTGCCCACAAACTTCGTGTGGTCGGGCGAGCTGTGAGCGAGGGACGAGACCATGAACGTCAGCGGTTGGTGATCAACAATAAAAACCATCAGTCATCTCCTGATCAAACAATTTACACTATTGTAAACTAAACTATTTTAAATCTTCAAGGTAAGGTGCACTGACCTATATAGCTCTTTTTCAGAAATGACCTGGCCACAAATGATAGCTCAATGAAGTGGCTTATCAAAATGTGGAAATTCATAGCAGGTAAATATTCTCATCCCTTGTTTAAAAATATCGAGGGAAAAACCGGAACACCCAGAGAAAAATCCATGCGACCACGGGGAGAACATGCAAACTCCAAATATACAGGCATCAGGGTTGAGATCGAACCCTGTATACAGCTCTCAGCAAGTGGTGGAAAATCCACATTGCTATGGCGGGGACGAACGTATCCATAGAACAACCACTGTTAACTTTCCCATGAAGCAGTAATCAGTGTATTCACCATGGAGGGATGATAGCTGATTATGTATTTTCAAACGGATACATCTTCCCCAACCTTTTCACTTGCGATTCCTGCCAAAATGATACGAACTCTTGGCTTCCCAGGAGGCAAGTTCTGTAGCCAGATAGGGTGAGATTAGTTTAACTCTATTTACGTAGGGACCACATATTTTCTCACATCAATTATTTACAAATTCTTTTGTTCATGAAACGAACAGACAAGATGCCTCATTTCCATATTCGTCTATAAAAACTAGGGTTCAAGTAAAAATAAACCTACGTGTTGAACAAAAATAAAGTTGTTTGATGTACAATCATTCACAATGCTCTCCACCGTAGTGGATGTCATTGGCCTAAGGCCCTGGATGGAGATGTCGCAAAAAAACATTTCTGAAATCCATTCCAGTGACCTCTTAATCACATTCCGTGGCATTGCAATCTCTCAGCCGCCGTGCGAAAGTAATGTCGGTGAAATTGCAGGAACATGTTTAATGCCGAGAGCCGTTTTTTGGCCAAATAAAGTGAAAACCCAAGTAAAATTATGGCTTTTTTTCGGTGTACTGTGTGTATGTATGTTGAACATATTTCACACCATATGTAGCCAACCGTGCTTATCGGACGTGCGGCGAGAAAGGACAGCAAACTAAACAGAAATGTAGTTCTGAAGAAATAAGTTTTCAATCCAGATTATTTAAAAGTGCATTGCTCCCAGTCGCTTCCTAATATCTCAAGAGCTGACCAGGGCTAAGACCATCGACTCACTACAATTAACAACCCAGTTGAACCACGTTCATCCGAAACCTACATTCAAACCCGACGTCTTAGCCGTCGCTGGCTCGGTGCCTTAACCCATGAGAGTGAAGCTACGGTTTTTGGCACGAGATTATTTTTTGCTGTAACAAATAATTCACGACCAAGGTACAACGAAAATAAACTCTAGTTCAATACGTTCATGGACAGGGTCACGGAAATAAGGTGGGGAGGTGCCCGACCGAACAATTAACTTTGTAATAATTCATTTTTATAAATAATTACATTTATTTACAATTTTTCAGTAATTATTTCTCACGATCCAGTGCTACTGTCATCCATCTCGCTCCTGCATAGGTGGCTTATGCCTGACATTTTGTTACGTCCAGTGGACATGATAAACAATTAGAAAATAGATTTTTATTTATTTTAATATAGGTCACCCGGTTTGCATAAGGACAGTCATCGGCCTCGTGTGGTTGCGGGACCTGCGAAACGAAGTTGCAGGCTCTCTGGCCCACGGGCCGTATCGTTCTTATTAAACTATTTTTATTTTACCGGGTAAGGCCCACTGAGCTAGATAGCTCTTGTTTTGGAGTGACCTGGCCACAATTGATAGCTCAACGAACCGGCTTATCACGTGGAACTCGATAGCAGCCAAATACTCTAAAATACATATTGATTCTAAATATGCATGGAAAAACCGGAGGCCCCAGAAAAAAATCCACGTGACCACGGGGAGACACCGCAAACTCCAAATATACAACAGGCTTCCCAGCCCTGGGTAGGAAGAGCAGCCGTGTGCAGCTGCATCATGCCGAGGCCCTACCCGTAGTCCACCTTCATGTGCTGCCCGTTGAAGAAGAAGATGGTGGAGGGGGTGACCGTGATGTCAAAGTAGTGTGTGTACACGGGCACAGCGCCCACATCCACCAGGTAGATCTCGGCCATTTTGCTCAGATCATGGCTTGTCTTCCATAGCTGCACTGTGACCACACGCGCGCGCGCACACACACACACACACAGATGCACATACATAAACTCTGAACTATATTTAATTTACCAGGTGAGTCCCACTAAGCTCTTTCGCTTTGTCAGAAGCGACCTGCCACAAATGATAGTTCAACGAAGTGGCTTATCGTGTGGAAATTTATAGAAGTCAAAAACTCTAAAACGCGTGTTTCTTAACGTATCGCACGGCGTAATGCAGTGATAACAGTTTAGCAGGGTCTACCTCCAGCAGTGTACCGTGGTGGCTTCGGGTCTCGTTTCCTTACGTGCGAGTGTTTGGTTCCGGCCACACCACCCGCTTCTGAAAAAGAGCTATATAGCTCAGTGGGCCTTACCTGGTTAAATTTTAAATAGTTTAGTTTTAAGAATTTCTTAGGTATACAGTAGACAGAGATGATTTTGATCTCCACCACCACGTGGTCTCGCGCTTCTTCTCTATATGGCTGATGTTGATGGAGAGCAACAGCTGTGATGATACAGACGATTGTGTCAGTTGTATCGCTGTGATGATGCCTCCTTTGTATTTGTGAATTGCGTCGTGATGTTCCATGGTTCTGTCGTGGGTGGGTCTACTGGTCTATGCGTGAGGCTGTGGGTCTCTGTATTCTTCGTAAGGCTGTGATTGTAGTGGAGCAACAGCTGTAAGTTAACATTGAGATGGTTGAGTCTGATGATTGCGTGAGTAGCAGAGTGGTGTACCATCACTCTGATGATGCCCCCTTCATACGAGTCATTAAATGTTCCACGATTCTGTTCTGGGTAACCACAGACTCTGCACATTTAATTTTCCATTTGTGGATCATCATCACCATCATCGAGTGTCCGCATCTGCTGCTGCCATGGTTTGTGTGCAGATGCGGTTCAGGGTTTTGGCCCAAGGAAGCTTCACGGGTGATCGAAGCCAGGGATCTTCTGTGTCGTCGGGTCAGTCACGAGGTGTTTGTGACTCCTTGTCAACTCCCATTCAGCTTTACAAGCGTTATCATCATCATCAAAGTTGAAGTTGTTGCATTTAAGTTGCATTGGTCTCGGCGCTGGCAGTCCATGTGACGCCATCCTCTGGCCACTCTGAGCAAGTATGATACCGAATAACACTGCAGGCTTTATATGCCTTTTAAACAACGTTCCAGGACCGTGGCACAGTGGCGCTAATTGCACTATGAAGCCAGACGTACGTATGTTGAACTTCCTTCGCACCGTATGTAGCCAACCGGGCTAAATGGAGATGTGGGGAAAGGACAACAAACTAAACACAAAAAAACTGTTTTGAATAAATACGTTTTCAATCTAGATTATTTTAAAGTACATGGCGCCAGTGGCTTCCTAATATCGGATGGAAGAGCATTCCAGATGGGCGCCAAAGCGCATCTGAAAGCGCCCGATGCGGTGACCATCTTTGTTCGATGGCCATCCAAAAGCCGCTGCTGCGATGACTGAAATTCGCTTGATGGTTTATGCTCTTCGATGTGGTCAGCAAGGTAATCTGCTTCAGGTGTTGGAAAGAAATGTGTGTAATGAGTGTGACCTTATAATATATTCGTTCAGCAACCGGAAGCCAATGCAGCTCAGCGAGCACTGGACAGACATGTTCGGGAACACACACTTGAGTTTGCGGTTTCCCGGCCATGGCTAACATCAGTGGTGGGTGACACACGGACAAGTCCCAAGACTCCCTCCACATTCGCAGAGCGGTACTGCAGCAAAAGTAATGTCCTATCAATTCCTCACGGCAGGGACTGCATGGAGAGAGAGGCCTTCACCCAGCACAGAGTGTTGTTGTTGCTCTGGAGACAGGGATATCAATTATCGATTTTCAGTCAACGCGTTGCTGGAATTCGTCACGTGAAGGCTGCCAAGACAGTACGACGACATATCACGACGCAATGCCCTATCCACAAATACCATACCTGTCAACCCATACTGTTTACCCATATTCTTGTACTTTTTAGGTCTATACGGCATACAGCCGTTTCAATACGGGCAACAATTTTTTTTGTCTATTTGTTTGCGTTTCTCTCTTGTGATGGGACTTTGTAGGATGAACATTGAAATTTATAAGGGCACGGGGTGACCAATAAGGTCTGAATTGGTCTGTAATGAGGTAGGCACTGATAAGAGGTGGACAGGTATCCACAGATACGAAGGAGACATCACAGCGATACACTCCGCTGCTCCTGACGTAGTTGGTGCTCTGCATCTACATCGGCCATACGAAAGAAGAACAAGAAGAAAAAGATCTCGCAGAGGATTGACTAAAGCAGTGGTTCCTCTTAACCTGTGGTGCACGCACCCCCTGGTGGTGCGAGATGCCCTTTCTGGGGGTGCAAGACATGGTCAGATTTTTGTTAAAAGGTAAATAATCGAAACCACTAATTAAGCAGGAGCACGTAAGTACAACTACTTTGTTTCATCAAACCCTATGTAGTTATTAATATTGTACACTTTTTTTACGATTGAGAAGCAAAGATGTGTAAGGCTGCAGTAAAAGTTAATAACCACTCGAATAAAGGGATTGTGAATTATAATTGCGATGGACGGATAGATCGGCCGATGTGTTGTACAAGTTCTGCTGCTTTGCATACCTGCCAACCCCTTATCAGTGCCCTACCTCATTACAGACCAACTCAGACATTACTGGTCACCCCGTGCCCCTTATACATCTCAACGTTTATCCTACAAAGTCTTATCACAAGGGAGAAATACAAACACATAAAAATTGCCCGTATTGAAACTGCTGTACGCCGTATGGACCTGAAAGCTCAATTTCCCTGTACAAGAATATGGGGTAAACCGTGTGGGTTGACAGCTATGCATTACTATACCCCTACACTACACTACTACTAGACTACTATACCCCTACACTACTATACCACTACACTACTATACCCCTACACTACTACACGACTATACCACTACACTACTATACCCCTACACTACTATACCACTACACTACTACACTATACCTACTGCAGGTATGGACCGTCAACCCCTTATCAGTGCCCTACCTTATTACAGACCAACTCAAATCTTATTGATCACCCCGTGCCCCTTATACATTTCAACGTTCATCCTGTACAAGAATACGGGGTAAAGCGTATGGGTTGACAGGGATGGGTTTGTATAAATGTCCCCCTCCATCGCTCTTCACTCTTCTTGGGTTCCACTCGGCCCACCAAACTTCCCGGGGTGGCCACCGCGTCCATGCACGGGCATCGTCATCCTGTGGGAGAGAGTGCGGCTCGACATTTTCAAGGCAGAGCGAGAGCATCTCTGTAGGGGCTAGGAGATGTCAACGACTTCGCCTAGGTCTACAGGAGGTCGTGGTTCCGATCTCGACCCTGACGCCTGCTGCTGCAGCTGCTGTATATTTGTAGATTGCGTGTCTCTCTCGCTCTCTGTGGCCGCGTGTATTTTTCTCCGGGTTCTTCGGTTTTCCCCTCCACATTTAGACTCAACATCACGCGTTTAGAGTGTTCGGCTGCTGCTATAAATGTCCACACAATAAGCCACTTGGTTGAGCTGTCGCTTGTGCTCGCCAGGTCGCTTCTGAAGAGGAGCTACTTAGCCCAGTGGTAGAATAAAAACGCCTTTGCCTCCCCCGTGTTAAACATCAACACTGGGGAGGCAAAGGCGGTCGGGCGTGGTGGTTGCTGCACCCCCCCACCCCGTTCCCAGCTCGCGTGCCGAGTCGGCCTTCACAGGTGCTGCTAATACTCGCTACAGGCCCGTGTGGGCTACACGGGGGACCTTCGTCTGTGTGGGTCACGGCCATGACGATGAGCCTCACTCATCCTCGCCCTCACCGTCTCGTCCAGGTGCCGGCAGCTCGGCTCCTCGCTCCTACCGAAGCGCAGCACCAGCACCCTGTCCGCCACGTTCCTGATGGCCGCGTCCACCTCCGCCTTGCAGCCCAGGTGCGGCAGCATGTAGCTCATGGTGGACCAGCGCGAGACGCCGTGCGTGATGACGTGTACCGGCCTGACGTGATGACGTAACCCCAGTCTGACGTGATGACGTAACCCCGGCCTGACGTGATGACGTAACCTTGGTCTGACGTGATGACGTAACCCCGGCCTGACCGTGATGACGTAACCCCGGCCTGACGTGATGACGTAACCCCGGCCTGACGTGATGACGTACGCAGCACTTGGCCTTGTCGATATCGGGACGCGATGACGTATTTGCGCTCGGCGTGATGACGTCACGGCGCGTGCCCTCCTCCCCCGGTTCGCGTTTGTGCACCACGTGGTGCTCGGGCGCCAGAGGTCGCGACCCCTGCACTGTGAACCCGGCTGAGCCCCCCCCCCCCACGTGTTCAGCACGTGGGAGGCGCAGAGGGCAGCGAGGGAGACGGTGAGAGACGCTCACATAGAGAGACTCACAGAGAGACTCACACAGACAATCACAGAGAGACACAGAGACAATCACAGAGACATTCACAGAGAGACTCACACAGACAATCACAGAGAGACACAGAGACAATCACAGAGACATTCACAGAGCGATTCACAGAGCGACGCTCACAGAAACACAGAGAGACTCACAGACACTCACAGAGAGAATCACGGGACACTCACAGAGATACACTCACAGACTCACAGAGACAGTGAGACACTCACAGAGACAATCACAGAGAGACTCACAGAGCGACGCTCATAGAAACACAGAGACTCTCACAGACACTCACAGAGAGAATTACGGGACACTCAGGGATACACTCACAGACTCACAGAGACAGTGAGACACTAACAGAGACACACTCAGAGGGACACTGACATAGACACTCACGCACGCAGACACTCAGAGGGAGACTCACAGAGAGACTCACAGATACAGATAGACACTCACAGAGACACACTCACAGAGACACACTCAGAGGGACACTGACATAGACACTCACGCAGACACTCAGAGGGAGATTCACAGAGACACACTAACAGAGACGGTGATACTCACACGGACACTCACAGACACACAGAGACGGCGAGACTGTCACAGACAAAGACTGTAACAGACTGTATAGGCTGTAACAGACTGTTGGGGCAAGTGCTGTTAGCGAGTAGCACCTATGAAGGCCGGTACGGCACACGAGGGGGTGGGTACCCGGGGAAACACCCGGATATCAGGAGGTTTCATTTAACGCTCCGTCGCTGCACCGTACTGCCATCTCTTTAACCTGCCTCTCAGACCAAGCCTCCAGGACCAGCTCTTCCCAGGGAGTCTCCCATCTCTACACTAACCAGGCCCAAACTTGCATTCACGCATCCTAACTCGTTCCTGTAAATGACACGAAACCGTGAATGCGTGCGGGACTCTCTGAACGAGGTTAATTTGTAGACAGCAGAAGGGTCGACTGCCACCACCAGGACGGTCCTCCCGTCATCCCCGGCACTGTGATGCACACACTGTGGCCACGTAACCCTGGAAAGTGGCAATCAATGAGACCACTGCCACTACGCCGGTTTCGTCTTTGACTAGGAGATGTTTACCACCTCGCCTGGTATACACGAGGTCGTGGGCTCGACCTTGATGCCCGCTGTATGTTTGGAGTTTGCGTGTTTCTCTCTCTCCCCGTGGTCTCGTGGATTTTTCCACGGGTCCTCCGGTTTTTCCCTCCACATTTAGATTCAACGTCATGCGTTTAGAGTCTGGCTGCTAAAGAAATCCGCGTGATGAGCCACTTGGTTGAGCTATCATTTGTGGCCAGGTCGCTTCTGAAGAATAACCCTATATCGCTCAGTGGGCCTTACCTGGTAAAATAAAAAAAAACTGTTTAGTTTAATTAGTACAGCTTAACCTGCATTGCCTACTGCTCCCCCCGCATTAGGTCTCGGGGGCTGCGTCCTGTGAGCCAGCCATACCTGATCACTGAGGGCACAGGCTAAGGGCGACAGCTTATTCAAACTACTTTCTCCTGTAAATCATAAGAGACTCATCAGACAGAAAGGTGAGTGCAAGCTGGAAGCAAATCATAGTAACAACTCACTCTAGTCAAGGAACATAAACCATCACGCAAACTCCGGTCATCCTCGCTGCGGCTTTTGGCTGGCCATCGAACGAATACGGTCGCCGCATCGCGCGCTGCGGCCGTCTGGAACGCTCTTCCGATATTAAGAAGCCACTAGAGCTATGCACTTTTAAATCTAGATTGAAAACTCATTTTTTTAAACTGATTTTTGTCTTTAGTTTGTTGTCTTTCCCCCGCACCTCCAATTAGCATGGTTGATTACATACGGTACGAAAGAAGTTCAACGTACATACTCAAGCCTGCGTGTATTTGTGACGAGGTGGGGCGTGGTGTGGGTGATTTATCCGTAGGTCTCCGTGCGCCGTATCAGTTGCAGGGGCCGCATCCAGGAGACACGGCGATGATGCTGGGCCCAGCTCTGCTCCGCGTGGCTCGGTGCGCAGTGTGGCGCCACCGGGTGGCGCGTGTGCCCTGTCGCGGCGAGCCCTCCGTGGTCGCCTTCCGCCAATACTTCACCAACTCCGACGCCGGGAACAAAGATCCGCGTGACCCCAGGGGCAACACCGTCTCCGACGCCAGGACCAAAGATCCGCGGAAGGACAGTGGCAACCGGAGAGAGGACGTCAATGGCAAGGAACGTGTCGTCGATCTGGATTTGTGGAAGAGCATCGCAAGCAAAAGCATCCCACGGGAAGCGTCGGCGGACGACGCGGCTACGCATGGCGTCGCTGCCAGCGCCGACAATCGAGAGGAAGCCCCTCGCGAGCCCGGGGCTCCAAGCATCGCCGAGCGAGCAGAAGCCCCTCAGGAGCCCAGTGCTCTGAGCACTGGCGAGCGAGAGGAAGCCGCTCGCGAGCCCGGCGCTCCGAGCACCTACGAGCGAGCGAATTCCGTTGGCGAGCCCGCCGCTCCGGAGTCGGCGCCGGAGCTGGCGGATGGGCACGGCGGTCTGAGCGCGGCGGTCGAGCTAGCTGGAGTGGGCTCGGCGGAGGCAACGCTGCAGCTCATCGGGCTGTGGCGCGAGGCGGGCAAATCCGTGCCGAGCGTCATGACCGACGCGCAGATCCAGGAGTACCTGGAGATGACGAGCAAGTCGATGCGCCAGCGGTTCCTCCGCTTCCTGCACAAGCGCGAGTGCATGAAGGATGCGAGGAAGCAGAAGCAGGAGGCGAAGAGGGAGGAGCGTAAACTACTGCCGCCAAAGGAAGAGGCCCCCGAGTTGCCTCTCAGGTACTTTGGGGGGGGGGCGGGGGGGGGGCTGGTAAAGGGTGAACAGTCGAGGAATAAACAATCGTGGTACGTTTATTAATTAGTGATGATAATGACACGGTCGATACTACGGGAGATAACGGCACCTGGCTTGTGACATCGCAAGATGACGTGTGCAGTTAATCCTTTCACATGCCAATGACGTGCATCATCAGCATCGGAATGAAACCGAGGCTCCCACAATGCTATTCGAGAGGGCGTGTGGCACAGTGTGGCGCCAGCTATCGTTCCCCTGCAGGTCTCTGCGGCGAGTAACAACGTCTTTAAATAAATTTAACGCCGAGCCGCTGCGCGTTGAGATTCAGCGGTGAACGGGACACCCCACCCTGAAACTTGCAGACGCCTTTGAAACGGGGAAGGGTTAATGTCATCAGGAGGGGATGGGCATGAGATGGGGCCCGCATCGCTTCTGGTAAATGAAGGATTTTATTTATCAACGTATTCCACCTGGAAAAAAACCTCTTGAGATGGGAAATGTCATTTGCATCGGTGTCCACGGTTGTCGATTGGCCCGCAGCAAACAAAAAGTGGCACACATACCCACACTAAGAATCTCAACCTCCCCTTCGCCTCTTGCCCGTCCCTTCTAGCCCCTTGGTTTTGTTCGTCTCTTCTTATCCTTCCTTTCCCCATAGAAAAATCCATGCTCCCGCTCATCGTCCCCACCTTGGCGGGGCAGCGAGCCCCGATTTTGTTTCTTTCCTTCCCCTACACCCAGGAGTATTGGAGTCTCCGGGACTTTTTTCTGTGACACTCAATTCCTACATCGCGGTTTATGCTCTTAATACCGGGCTCTTGTTGAATTACAAGAAAAAAATATCTTAACAATTATATTGCTGCACTGCCGGCTGCTGCTGGCAAGGCGGCCCCACAACAGCGGTGGCGTTCTCCAGCCCCTGGTTTACGCCCGTGGTTGGTGGTCGTCCAAGCGCAGCACGGGCTCAAGTCTGCTTAGCTCCCGAGACCCAACGGGTTAGGGCGCCGTTCTGTTTTCATTTGGACATGATCTCTTCGTATAACCTTGATTCCACGGAATGCATGAGACACTGTGTGTGTGTTTGTTCATCCGTGGTGGTGGTGGTGATCGGTAGCGTAGCGGTTGGCACGCTACGCTACGAACCCGGCGACCTGAGTTCGGTTCCCACTCACGGCCAACACGATTATCTGAACCGGTCCTGGGCCTCCCCTAGGTTGACTCAGCCTCAAATGAGTACCTGGTGCGGTGTGTAAACATCATCACTGGGGAGACAACTGTCGCTAACAGCACTTGCCCTAACAGTCTGTTTAAGGCTATACGGGGGATCTTTGTCTTTGTGTACCTCACTGCGCGCCTTGGTGGCAGTTTAGCCTCTGCGTGTTTTGTTTTTCTCGAGGAGCCCAAAGTTATTTCGGTGCCTTGGCGCTCGCCCGTCAACTCATTTGGCACCCTAGCACCACACTGCGCTTCTCGCAGCTTACCACCCGGCACCGTGGGGGGGAGGGGTGCGTCACGGTGCCGCGTATGACGGACGCACCCCCGCGGGTCGCCATTCAGACGACGTGGCCAGTTTTACTTTCGCCACCATCATCGTCGTCGTCGCCGCCGTCGCTTACAGAGGTGGCGGCAGCGGCAGCAGCCATGATCAATCCGCTGTTGGATGAAGGTCTCTCCCCGAGCCGTGGCCATCTCAGTTGGCCGTGCGGCAACGCAGCGTTCCCTCCGGCACTTACCCATGAGCCAATTCCGTTGTTCGTCTAAACCACCAGCTATTGTTCCTCCTGTTGCCCAAGCCCACTCTTCCTCACAGTCGCATCACACGTTCACTTGCCTATGTTCTTTAATCCACGTGTTGCACTCAGTGTAATTCTTCACAGCTTGTTGCTCACAATGTGGCTTGTCATTGTGGCGCAGTGGCAAGAACACTTGACTAACAACCACAAGACTTCCAAGTCCCAAGGCCATCATGCCTTCTGGGTTCATAAAATATGTACTGCTTTGTAGAAAGCTGACGGTTGGTTGTGTTGGACGTTTGTGGGATAGAACTTTATAGCTCATCGGATCCTCCAGTATAAATAAATATTCGGATTCTGTTGTGGATAGACTGGCCCAGAATGTCGTAGAATGCACGTGGTTTACACGCGCGCAATGTTCACGCACACCGTGGCATTAGGGTGGCACCCAGAGGTCGTGACCCCAGGGGAGACCATGGGTGGGGGGGGGGGCTTCTGTAATATTTTTTTCACAGATGACCACCTGCACTGGTGGCCACGCCTCCGCTGGCCATCACTTGTGAGATCTAGCATCAGAAAGGAAGCGATGGCGAGGCGTACTGCCACGGTTGCGGGATGTTAATTACCTCACCTGGTATACAGGAGGCCGTGGGTTCGATCCCGGCCCTGATGCCTGCTGTATATTTGGAGTTTGCGTGTCTCTCTCCCTGTGGTCGTGTGGATTCTCCTCCGGGTCCTCCGGTTTTTCCCTTCACATTTCGAATCAACATTACGCGTTTAGAGTATTTGGCTGCTATACATTTCCATGCGATGATGATAAGCCACTTCGTTGAGCTATAATTTCGTGGCCAGGTTGATTCTGAAAAGGAGCTACATAGCTCAGTGGCCTTACCTGGTAAAATAAAATAAAAAATGGTAGTGACACCGGAAATGGCTATGACCATGTCTTGGTCTCGCCTCGCCGAACCTGACCACGTGCTGCGATTTTCTCCCCATTCTCCAGGAACAGCTTCCTGTTGACGTTCTGGGCCCGCTCGGAGGAGCGCGCCTTTGACTGGCGTCTAGCGCAGGCCATGCAGCACGGCCAGCCGCTCGTCATCGACATGAGCTACGACGACATGATGAACTCGCGCGCGTCGCGCAGCTGCGCCGAGCAGATCATCGAGCTCATGTCCAGCAACCGGCGCGCGCTCGATCCCTTCCACCTGCACCTGTGCGGCTACGCGCCGGGTGACGCCAGCGGCCGGACGGCTAGCGCTGCGCTGGCCCGGCTCTACGGCGCCGACGCGCTGCGCCGGATCCTCGTCACCGAGACGGAGCGCTCCTACCTGGAGCTGTTCCCCCACGAGCGGCTCGTCTACCTGACGGCCGACTCGCCCAACGTGCTGCGCGAGTTCGACCCCTCGGCCGTCTACGTGGTGGGCGGCTTCGTCGACCTGTCCATCGAGACCGGCGTGTCACTGGGCCGCGCCAAGCGCCAGGGCCTGGCGACGGCGCGGCTGCCGCTGGAGAAGTACCTGAGCTGGGGCCTGGGTGGGAAGAACCTGACCCTCGACCAGGTGGTGAAGATCCTCGACCGCGTCAAGGACACGGGCGACTGGAGCGACGCGCTGCGCTTCGTGCCGCGGCGCAAGCTCAAGAACACGACCGACGCGGACTTCGCCGTTGGCCGCCACGGCCACCAGCACGGCCAATATGGTCAGCAAGGCCAGTACGGCCGGCACGGCCAGCCAGGCCGGCCCTTCGACAACCAGAGAGCTTTCAGACCCGGGTCGGATGCCGGGGTGCGGCGGGGGCCAGGCGGGCCGTGCGTGGGCAACTGGGGGCAGGGCGGGGAGGCGAGGGGCGGGAGTGTGGGCGACACCGGGCGGGACGGAGGCAGGCGGAGCGGAGCGCGGAGAGAAGCGTGGCGATGGCAAGGGGACGACCCCAACGGGAATGAGTGGCACGGCGCCAAGGGTCACGGGACTAAGGGTCACGGACCAAAGGATGGCTTCCTCGGCACCTGGCAATCAAAATCACCGGACAAGCGGTGATTGGTGGCGGCCGCGCCACATGCCCCGTGATGTTAAAAACATCTTCGCGTTTATATTCCGCGGTGTCGGGGGGCGTGCGTGCATGTCCGTCCTCGCAAATGAGCGTTGGCCGATGCTCGATACTGTCGGCAGCCCCGAAGCAGTGGTGGAAAATTTGTCACTCGCGTGTCGGGGGGGTTAATCTGTGCAGTGGACAACCGCTGGCGACTTCAGCAAAGCCGGTCCTAGTTTTATTGACTCCCATGGACATCATGGGCTGGGGTGATGCTGCTCGCTCGGCATGAACGGAGCGCTCTCGCCAGGGCGATGCCACACTATGCATGCAGCCTGCATCGCACCACGCCGGATGTACTTTTGTACGTTGAACTTCTATCGCAGAAATGCTTTTCAATCTAGTTGATTTAACAGTGCACAGCTCCAGTGGCTTCCTATTATCGGAAGGAAGAGCATTCCAGATGGCTGCAGAAGCGCATCTGAAAGCGTGCGATGCGGTGTTTGATGGTTGGCCAAAAGCCGCTGGGTGAAAGGTGCTCTGCAGCAGGGAGTGAGCATTCACAACGGGCGTCCCCGTCATGCACACACGCACAGTCACACTCGCAGTCACGCACCCACGGCGCTTGAACACCGACATTCAGCATTTTACGATGACCAAGTCGCCCAGAATGCACCCACACTCGTCAGATCTCGGGAGCTAAGTGGGGTTGAGCCCGGATAATGCTCGGATGGTCGCCCACCACAAAACAGATGTCCTTCCTTCTGGGAATGCATAATTATCCGCAGCATTGGTTTAACACGAGCAAACTGTGGACCGGTTTCGACATTCAGTGTCTCATCAGTAGATTCAGGTGCTATAGGTGACTGTGGGGCCAAGTCGTCAGCAGAGTGCAGCGCAGCAAAATCCATGGTTGTGCTGTACTATGCTCCAACATCTGTGCTCCCTGCCTTTACCAACCCACAAAGACCAGCGTGGTGAAGTGTGTTCTAATAACCCCCACGACCCACGTGGCGTGGTGAGGCCCTTATCCAGCAGTGGATCGATAGTGAGGACGGTAAGTGCACACGCTGCCCCAGCTCTCTGCACCACCCGTGCCCCAGGGTGGAGTGATGCTGCCCGTACGATTTGTATTTGGCTGCGTGAATCCACATCTTTGACACAGGCCTGTGCCTCGCCTGTTCCCACCACCGCGCATTCCTGCTCTGTAACAGCGCTGTTGTACACTGCGTAATGCTGTCAATAATAAATGTTACGGTAATGGGACGGTGTGACTTGCTATTTATGGGGTTTAAATGTGTTAACGTGTCATTATTTGTGTTCTATGTGTGTACGAGTGTGGATAGCGGTGTCTTGATTACCATGCTGCGCAACGAACCTGGCAGTACTCTTCCTGAAATGAGTACCTGGTGCGGTGTGTAAATATTGCCACTTCTTCTTCTTTAGTGCTGCCTAACGGCGTGTGCGACTTCACGATGATATTGGTCCTGGTCTAGCACGGCGTGTAGAGTTTGTGCTGCTGTTGTTAATTGTAGCCATGTTTTGATGTTACTGAGCCATATCGTTTTTGGCCGTCCTGGTCGTTTTTTCCCGTCGATTTTTCCTTCCAGGATTTGCTTTAATAGCTGGTATTTGTGGTCGTTTCGGGCAATGTGGCCTAGGTAGTAACACTTCCTGCTAATGATGGTCTTCAGCAGTTGCCTGTCAGTGCCCATATCTTGCACAACTTGTGTATTGGTGGTTTTGGCTGTCCATGGGATTTTCAGCATTCTTCGACACAGCCACATCTCGAAAGCTTCGAGCCTCAAGAGAGACAAATGCGGCCAGGCATGGTGTTGGCCAACCACTCCCTCGTGTGCCGTGCCGACCTTCATAAGTGCTCACGAACAGCGGTTGCCCCAACAGTCTACTAAGGCTACACGGAGAATCTTTGTTTTGTCTGTAGTATGTGTAATGAGCGACTTCCGCGACACGTCGTGTAGAGGGTACTTCTTTTATTTCTCACACTGGGCACAACGCAGGCCAACCTTATTCTTCTCACTCTGAGTAAAACACTTAGATATTAAGGTCTCGACTGGCTACACACAGCCGATCACTCGGCGTGGTCCCATCGCCCTCGGCTACGCCGCTGGCTGGCGGCGTGACGATGACGGCGATGGAAACCCCGCAGGAGATCTTCCACGTGGCCGAACGACGGAGAGAGATGTCGGTGAGCAGCAACGCAGCCAGGACCCAGGACCCCACACACGAGCCCCGAGCCCCGGGTCCGCTCCCCCTTATATCCCCCCAGGCGTGGCTAGGCCCCACCTCCGGCCACGCCCTCTCGTGGAACCTTCGAGCAGGTTCCGAGAGTATCTCGACTAGCCCCACCTGTTACCTTTACCCCAGATACACCTCCTTCTCTGGTTGTTACTTTAACCGTACCCGTGATTCCCTCTCCCGGCCAGCAGGTGTCACCCTGTCATTACATGTACATGTTTGGGTATAAATGTGTCACCACGTGTTTGCTGTGCATATCTATATACACCCTCCCACTTGTAATATTAAATAGAGCCGTTGCCTGAAGCTACCGCGTGGCAGGATCGCCACCGTACTCATTACAAACTGCTTTCCACGAAACTCGTCAAGAAGTATAAACAATCATCACGCGAACTCCGGTCATCCTCGCAGCAGCGGCTTTTAGCTCAACGATCAAACAAAGACGGTCACCGCATCATCGCACGCTTTCAGATG